TAAGTTCCACTTTCACGCGACGTTCAATGACAGGGTCCTATCCAGGATTACATCTGAAAAATCCAAATCTGGCCAACGCCCACCTAAACCTGTTCTAATCCACCTGAAATGACTAACGAATGGAAGACTTTGACTACCCAGCCATGCAATAGTCTCATTCCGTGCCTTATGGCAACTTGATGATTCTATTGCGCTCATCTTTTGGCACCACCCAGGGGAGACTTGGTCCTGTACCCAATGCTTAACTTGTCTCCATTCCACTCAGCTACTCGCAATTTCTTGTGATATAGTGGGCGGAATATTATTATATGAGACAATTCAATGCAGACGCCATTCCAAATTTGGCAGATCGACAGGTAATCGGTGAGTTACCACGATAGTTGCTATTCAACAACTCGACAACGTCCCATCGTCAACGCCTGCTATGAGAATTTCCCATTGCAGACGCCAACGAAATGAAGTCATCGAGCTATCGATCAACTACCCTGGTTATCGCCTGGTACCTTATAGCACGATGCTAGGAGGCGAACCGGAAGAATCGATGAGCTACCTCTCCCCCATATCAAGAGCAAACTTTCATTACGTCGAAAGTAACAAAGGTAAACAAAGTCGAGCTATCAGTGTCAATCGAAGCTCCTGCTATTACACTATATAGTGTCCGAATATAGGATCACATCCCATTTTTAAATTTATTTACCAGTCAAATTGCTTTTTGACGTAATCAGCTTCCGATCAAAATATTTTTCGATGTTATTTAAGTCACCCGATTTCTATGGAGATGCCGTAAAAAAACTCTTGAGTACCAGCGCAGAGAAACCCGTGAAAAGTGTACGTTCGTCGTTTCGCTTTCTCATTATCAAAGTGAATAAATCTGTTGCTAAGATGATTTCGGTGGTCCTAACATGATGAATGAGCTGCACTTAAGGAAACGTGATTGATAATCCTCCCGAATATCCTGGTTAATACACTTCGACTTAAGTTGCATTAGGGGGCCACCAAACGACGTATAATAACTTTTGACTCGAAAACTTTCATTATGTCGAAAGTAACATTTGCACCGATCCGAGAAAAATAAAGAATGCGCAAAATTCTGTACAAACACAAACTCGACGACTTTTTCTCGACTGTTGTTTCTTAGGGATAGAGGGTTGTGTGGGCCCTCTGGAATATGGAAATGCTACATCTGAACTTCTGAGAATGGCTGTAATTGGATACGCCCCAAAGTACGAAGTGGATATACATAATTGGTTCAAGGAAAGTTTAGAAATCTAACCAAGCAGAAATCTAACAATCAAAAATTTACATACTGAAAGATTCTTCAATTCGCCGATTGTCACAATCAACTGAAGAAAAAACCCAAGCTCATTTTTAAACTATGCTCTCCATTTCCAAAAAAAATAAACAACCATCATCACCAAGTCGGATACGGCGAAATCCTTCTGCCAGCTGCAAACAATTTGAGTACGCGCGAGAAAACCGTCAAATCCTTCTCTGCTCTTGGCGATGTGGAAAATCATCCTGGCAAAAAGTTTCAACAGCAATAACAACAGCTTTGGGCGGTGCCCGTTCCCATCAAGAAAGCCGCTTTAAGCCGGGTGCGACTTATTTGCAATGATTGTCACTTTCGCCACCTCATAAATTTCCCACCAAGGGAAGGAGGGGAAAGTGTCATAGAGAGATGCTCTCGCCAAGCTCACATTATAAAAACATACATTTCATGCAAAACATCATCCGCGTAATGGCAAAAACGCGGCATGCCGAAAACAGCAAGTCACCAATGAAAATAAACAACGCAGCAGTTGTCCTCCTCCTAAATGTATGCCATATATATGCTGGCTCGGCCCGACTGGGTGGGTACGAGGAAAAGTCAAAAGTCGGAAACGTGGGAACCGGAACGACAAATGTGTATGAAAGTACGATAGGAGATAGTCACCGAGTCGGAATAATAGATGATACTCTGGAGGAAGGGGAAGAGAAAGTGTCAATTTTAATGATGCAAATCCCTTCCGTTCTGCTGTCTTTGGGGACGACTTTTCTCCGACCATCGCTGTCGTCGCCGTCACATCGAAGGAGAAAGTTTACTAACTGACTTACTAGTCTCATAGTAGGCAACAATGACTATTCGGCGAGGAAAGTGCAACTGACTGGAACGCAGAAGTTCTAGCAGGCTGTGCTATATGACCGGATGAACTCGTCTGCACTTGCACAATCACAGGAACACACAAACGTGTACGAAATTATGTTGAAGAGAAGTTAAATTTCATTTCACGCACCGTTTCCCGTTTGCGGTTCGAGTTCGCCGTCTTCTAGATGCATAGGGTTAGGTACTAATTTCCGTCATACGAACCACAACCACCGCAATTTACCTCTCGTTTTCGAACGGGTGCTAACCTCAATCGGATGACAGTTCAGTCAACCGGTGGAATCTACAGAGTTTAAATTGGCTCACTACTTTACTAGTCTATTGGTCCCAAGCAAAACGGTTAACGTACCCCATTCTAGTCGAAATTCTAGTACTACGCCATGTTTGTTTTGATTCGCTATGAAAGTTTGACAGATAAAATGAGGGGTTCGTGGATTTTCCTATGTTTCGAGGGGTGAATCGATTAGCTTGGGACCGAAAAGAGTACCAGAGCTGAGCCAAAAAGTTGAGCACGTTTCTTCGGGACCTTCTGATCTTGGAATTACAAGCCATAAGAAACTGACAGGGTTTGTTTACGTTTGGAACCAATTTCATACAAGGATGATCAGTAGGCTAATTTGCCAGAACGTCCCCCCCGCCCCTGTAGTACTAGAATTTCGACTGGAATGGGCTACGTTAATCGATTTGCTTGGGACCAATAGGCTAGTTATGTAGTGAGCCAATTTTAAATCGTTAGTGTCCACCGGTTGATAATAGCTCGTTGATATAAATAAATACAGAATTATCATTATCATAATGTTTTTTAATATTCTTCCTGGACGAAATAATTTATGTATAACGCATTCATGGGGTAATCATTCGTTTTTATCGAAATGGGTAAGGATAACACAGTAGACAAATGTCATCTTCTGAGTAACCGTTGCCACTTTCCTCCATAGACACGTTTACTTGAATTTAAGTAAAAGCATGTTTACCCATTTTTAGGTAGCTTCCCTTTTGGCTGGACTGAGGCTGTGTTCCATTTGGTGAATTTTTACTTAAATTGGACGGATGAAATTTTTTCAAATAAACCTGCTATTCCAGCAGACTTATTCCTGACAGCCAAGGAATCAATTTTGACAGACGCTTTCTCGAAAATCGGCCGATCAACAACAGAGGGATTTTCGAACATCTTAATTTTTTTTCGAAGTGTCAAATCTAAGTGAAAATTTTCCAAATAGAACACAGCCTGAGTGATTTTCGACTCAAAATATGGTGCTTGCAAACTGTCTGCAAGGTTCTTACAATTCGCGTTTCGTCAAAAATTTGCACTACCAAAAAAAAAAAGGTTTCTAAGGCTCTGAACCATTTGGTGGATTATTTTAACTTTTGGATAAAATTTGACAGATGGAAAGTTATCGATTAACCCTGCTATCCGAGCGTGGCTACTTCTGACAGACAAGAAGTTAAATTGTGACAACCTTGGCTAAGTTCTTCTCGAAAACCGGTCGATCCACAGCACAGGGATTTTCGAGCATAGAAAATAACTTTCGAAATGTCACTTTTAATCACGAGTTAAATTTAAATCGGCAAATAGTTCACAGCCTTAATTTATTTACCTTTCCATACGTGCTGTTGGATTTGATAAAGAGTGGCAAATTGTTGAGATTTTATTAAAAATCTAACATTGCTTCTTGATTCCAATTCCGTCATACGAGTTTCAATTCCGTCCAAACACATTTAAACGTCAATGAACTCACTTCGGCATACGAATGAAGGCAGAACAAATTGATTCGCCAGAAGCACTTCATTTTCTCGAATAAAGGATTTAAAATATTCATATTATGCGTTCTTATAGATTTTGTTTTATAGCTTTTGAACTAAACTATCGTTGATTCGTTCACGTTGAAATCACCGATATAGTTGATGCATTCTGTTCGTTATGACGGAAATACGCACCTATGCCGAAGTAGGGTGTAGTTTGCGCTGACGATTCCCGCGGGGATTGATTTGGCAAATGGATTTCCCTGTTAAACGCTGAATGGGATTGACAGGTAAAGCGCGGTAAAGGCAGAAGTTCATTATTACACATACGGAATCGATCGGGTACGAATTTCGCACGAGAGCAGCTGGTTTATGTCAATAATATATGAAGAGTGAATACTCCAGAACGAGGGTGGGAAGAATTCCGCGCATTCTATTGCTTTTCGGAGGGGGCGTGGGAATTCCATCCTCTTTGGAAGTTATGCGAACTCGAGCGTCTTTTAGTTAGTTCGCATAGCATGCCATGAATTATTTTGGTCACCGGATGGGTTGCTATGTTACAATATGAATAACTTGGATCTGTTGCTGTTGTTGGTTATTGCCTACTACGATGGCGCGAAGAGATTTCAGAACAATTTCACATTATTATTTGACAAGGTCATCAGACCCTCCAGACGCCCGTTCATGCTTACGCCTCGTTTCCGTTAACAACCTGGTCCTGCTGGATGCGCTGTGCGGTTTTAATTAACTCATGCTCCTCGCGAAACGAACGCCGCCCTGCTCGGTAGTCGAAGTTTTATGTTTCTTGTGGTAACTTTTTATAGCTCACCCTCACCACCACGCTTCCATTCATCGTCTGAAGAGGTGAAAAATTACATGACACAAACAGAAACACAATTGCTCGCGGGCAGATGAATTATTTTATTACATTGTTTCGACGACGACAACGACGACGGGATCCGAAACTAAGTTGCTTTCAAGGACGTGGCAAACCAACCAACCGCCCTCAGATTTACAGGACTGATTACCCCAGCTCCCATCCACTCACCCTCATCCCAATGCAAAAAACAAGCCATAAAATTCTTCATTCATCATGGCCTGCCTTTCGTTTTAGGTTTAGCCAGCGTCTGCCGCCGTCGCACTTCAGTGCCTACTTCGAATCCGGCGCTTCCCGTTACGGCAGCTCCAACGTCACGATGGATGAGAACGAGGTGATGGCGGCATACCTGTGGAGCAAGCAGTCCCAGGACCTGTACGCAAGTCATGGCCTAAAGGACCTGCACCATCTCCATCAGGACTTCATCATCAACGACTACACCGACAAGATTGCCACCAACATCGACCTGCTGGATACGGAGCTCAAGTTCGCCTGGGCTGCGCTGAATCTGCTGAACGAAGAGTACACTAAGATGGCGGAGAAGGTCTTCAAGTTGCAGTCGTTGAACGTCTCCCAGCAGCGCATCGTGCAGAATCTGCAGTTCATGGAGGAGAACAGGAAGGCCTATCTGGACATGATACCGGACTACGCCAAGCACCATGAGTATTCTCTGCAGGAGCAGTCGCGACTGCAGGAAGAACTAGAATACCGGGATTGCATTGATGAGGCCTATCTGCACCACCAGCAGCAACAGCAGATGCCACCGTATCCACCCTACGATGTTGGATGGCGATTCAATCCGGCGACGATGCCCGAGGAGATGGCCATTCACGATCCCGAATACTGGTTGATGCGGAGGAACCTGTCCAATATTCCGGAAGAACAAGCAGCCCAAGCAGCTCCTCGCTATCCGCAGCAGATGTCGACGAACCCGTTCCTGCAGACGGTTGAAGCCGCGAATGGCGGAATCCTGCGAGAGATCGAACCGGCGAACGACGCGGCGATGATCGAGGAGCAGCTGAGGGCTTCGTTTCTGAACCACTCCCAGCAGCTTGAGCTGGAATACGGATTGCCAATGGCCAAGCAGTTCGTGGCCGAGCGAATCGAAAAACTCGAGGACGCCGACGTCAAGCAGTTGATTACGCGGGTAATGGACGATGAGGATGTGGCGTCGCTGAGCAGCGAGGAGGTCGAGAAGGTGAGAACGTTCATGGCGAAGAACTGTGGTGATTTACGAGAGGTGTTTGCGGAGGAGTTTTCGCCACTGGCCAAGGATACCAAGGGCGGGGAGAAGCTGATTTCGCAAAACAAACTGAGCGGGGTCAGTCCGAAGAAGGAGTTTAACAAGTACATCCATCTGCCCAATGCAGAAGGAATTGCTTCGCTAAACAACGATGACCTTCTGACGGTGGATAATGGGACAATCAGCATCCAGGATAGCAGCAGTGGAAACAATGACAACGAATTTAAGCTCAAGCTGAACACGGTCCATCCAGCGAATGGGATGGGAGGAGTTTCGCCAAAGAAATTGATGGAATTTTCACCATTTGGGATGCAGAAGTGTCTGGTGCGGGAAGCAAAGGAAAACAACGTCGATGTACCGGGGATGATGCATTTTTCGGACAATTTGATGAACAAGCCTAGTTTTGCGGATTTGATGAACAGTAAACCGTGCGCGGAAACTTCGATGACGTTTACAAACATGAACGGGGAGACGGAGTCGATCTTCAGCCAGAGCTTTAAGGAGGCAGTGGAGGCAAAATTAGCAGGACAGGCGGTGCAGATGGCAGGCAATATGATCAATCTAGGTGAACCCCTTCCACCGTTTCCAAACGTGCCGATGAAACCTAACATAAGTGAAGCCCTGGAAGCAGCAACAGTACACGGCATCACCACCGAAGCTAGACGACCAAGCGTTACGGAAGCATCTGCCGTATTGATAGCTCCGGAAGCTCGCCGGCCGAGCATAGTTGACCAAGTACTCCCATCATTAGCTAGGAAACCAAGTATAACCGTCGCTTCGGATATGCCTCGAAAACCAAGCATTACAGATGCATCCGAACCGTCGATGTTCGCGGTGGTTCCCCGTAGGCAAAGCGTAGCCGAACCACCGGTAACTACCCCGATCTTCCAAACCATCGCGAGAAAGTCTAGCGTAACGGAAACTGCCTCGAGCCCTCCGATGTTTACACCGCTACCCGGGCAGACCACCATCACCGACACCCCGGAAATGCAAGCCATCTACGAATCACTGTCGCGGAAATCCAGTCTACCAACTCTAGGTGATGGGACGTTCTTCCCCTCGCTGGATATCACTGACTCAGGATTTGCTGATTCTACCGATGGAATGTCTATGTTTCCAACCATGCCATTAAATCTATCGTCAATCGACGCTCCGGTGAGTTTGCCGGATTTCTCTACCCTGTCAACGATCTCCAACATCCCAGAGACTTCGGAAGCTTCCTCATTCCTTCACATGTCCATGAATTCGTCCGGAATTAGTGAAGCGTCCGACAGTATCACTCTTCCACCGGTGACAACGTCCGCACCATCTGCGACTGCCATAATATCTGCTCTCTCTAGCCAACTGAACCAAACCACCGCAGCCATATCGAAGGAAGTCCTCCAACCCCAAGAAAAGATATCTTTACCACCCATATCAGCAGCTCCAGCCACCATAGCTGCCCTAGCTGATAGTAAACCGATCGCGCAGGCTACAGCGCCTCCCCCGACGACCGTAGCCACTTCGACCACTTCCATCAATGGGGATGTGAAGCCGAAACCCGTGGTCAGTCAAGCGCCTACTCCGGCACCCGTTGTAGCCCAGGCCATCGTTAAACCGGTGCAGTCTATGGCTCCAGTGACTGTTCCCGTATCAGTCTCGGCACCGGTTCAGAAGCCACCAGCTCCCCAATCCCAACAAGAACAACAACAACAACAACAACAGCAACAACAACAAAAACAACAACAACAGCAACAACAACAACAGCAACAACAACAACAACAGCAACAACAACAACAGCAACAACAACAACAACAACAACAGCAACAACAACAACAACAACAACAGCAGCAACAGGAATCCAAGGGCAGTGGCTTCTTTCAAACCTCCACCGCCAACACCAACCTCTTCGGAGGCTTTTTCAACAAGGCCAAGAACCTCACCCACCAGGAAAGTTCGGACAGCATCATTGGTGCCAAATCCAAATCGTTCTTCGCCTCCATGAAAAACTCCTTCTCGCTCGACTCCAGCAAGCAATCCACAGAGGAACCACAGCAACCGCCTCAGCAACAACAGCAGGTTCCTCCGCAAGCCACGCCTCCTTCGAGTGCCACTTCTTCGATCGCCGGTCAACACCAGCTGTCGCCTCCGTCAGCAGCAGGTAAGTCTCCCGCTCCGGTGTCCAGTGTTTCTCGGTGTTGTGTGTCCCCTGTGTTTACCCTTGAACCCCTTTCGTGATCAGAAGAAACCATCATCACCACTACTCCACCCCTACAATCTCCGGCAGATGTAGCGCAGGCTCAGTACCTGCAGGAGTTATCCCCTTCCCAAGAGCAATCACAGTATTCGCCAGGCGATCAGCAACAGCAACAGCAACAGCAGTCTCCGTACGGGACGGCTTCGGAGTTTCCGATACTAAACGATAGCACAACGATCAACGCACAAACACAGGAACAGCCGTTTCCGGAAGGAGATGAACATATGGTGCCTTTGCCGATAGAGGGTGAAGATGAAGCACCGAAAGCGCCTGCGCACCGGAAGCAAAGCTTGTTTCGAGCGCAAAGCAGTGAGGGATCGATGGGTAAGCTTTGCCGGGAGAGCCGTGGATTGTTTGTGTTTGGGTAAAGAACTTTGATTTTTTTGTTTGATTATTCGGCAGATGGTGAAGGTAGTAAGTGGAAACTGCTCAAGACATTGAAGGAGAAGCGTATCGAGGAGAAGCAGAAGGTATCGGATGTGGGAGACGATGAGGAGCCAGGTATTTTCAAAAAGGTTGACGTTGGCGGTAAGGATGAGCCGGAGGTAATTCAGAACGATGTAGGTTAAGTCGACAAATGAACTTCAATTTTTAACATTTTTATGTTACGGTTGACGTCTAGCGAATTATCGAACTAAAATGTTACTCCTTCCTTTATTTTTCTACAGAAGCGCAATGGAACTACTGACAGTGGACGAGGCAACGGGTAAGTTTCCCTAAATAGATTGACGAACGCTTGGGCAATGGTCTAACGAGTCCGCATCTTTCCGCAGAATGGGAGACAATACGTTCTACAGCAACATCGACAGTATGCCGGATATCCGTCCCCGGCGGAAGTCGATCCCGCTGGTATCGGAATTGGTAAGTATCGTGCATCCCTTGCTCTCAGCTAAACCGATCTAACAATGTTGCATCAAACCCGTATCTCTCTCTGCTCTCGTATGTTGAACCGTTGAATGTTGTTATGAATGTACCCTCCGTCTCCAACATAACCTATCACTACCACCACTACGTAAACCGCCATCCGCCAACAGGTCCTGAAAGTAAGTTTCTTTGGCCACTGAGTTGCATGACCCCGTAAAGTCTAACCGTACTCTTCCATTGTTTCCCAACAGACGATGGCAGCTACGAAACGCCAGGCAGCTGGACTCACTTCAGTCGTACGGGCCACCTTGAATGACGAAGAACTGGTAAGATCCTGGTGGTGTTCGAAAGTCGCATAACGTTAACTCGCAATCTCTTCGCAGAAAATGCACGTCTACAAGAAGGCCCTGCAGGCGTTGATCTACCCGATCTCGTCGACGACACCGCACAACTTCGTACTGTGGACAGCGACTTCCCCGACCTACTGTTACGAGTGCGAAGGACTGCTGTGGGGTATCGCCCGGCAAGGTGTTAGGTAAGTCCAGAGCGAAAGCTTCCGTTACGTTCAAGAATGACATTCTACCGCTTCTATCGTCTCGTAGATGTACGGAATGTGCCGTCAAGTGCCACGAAAAGTGCAAAGACCTGCTGAATGCCGATTGTTTGCAAAGTATGTGCTTGAATGCCCGAATGCGATGAGTTAATCAAAATCGTGTTTTGTTGAATCCCGTTTCAGTGTGCTTTGCGGGTGCTTCCGAGAAGAGTTCCAAACATGGTGCCGCCGAGGATAAGGCAAATTCTGTGATCGCAGCGATGAAGGAGCGGATGAAGCAACGGGAACGGGACCACCCGGAGATCTTCGAAGTGATCCGAAAGGTGTTCAACGTGGAGGAGAAGAGCCACGCGGGTCACATGAAGGCGATCAAGCAGAGCGTACTGGACGGTACGAGTAAATGGTCTGCCAAGATCGCCATCACTGTGATCTGCGCTCAAGGTCTGATTGCTAAGGACAAGAGCGGTACCAGCGATCCGTACGTCACCGTTCAGGTGAGTAAGGTGAAGAAGCGTACCCGAACAATGCCGCAGGAGCTGAACCCGGTGTGGAACGAGAAATTCAACTTGTGAGTATATCGGCGAATCCAGGTGGGTAGGCGATTCCTGAATTGCTAACGTCCTTTCCGTCCGCAGCGAGTGCCACAATTCTTCCGATCGTATCAAGGTGCGCGTGTGGGACGAGGACAACGATCTGAAATCGAAACTGCGACAAAAGTTGACCCGCGAATCGGACGACTTCCTGGGGCAGACAATCATCGAGGTGCGAACACTGTCCGGCGAGATGGACGTGTGGTATAATCTGGAGAAGCGAACGGACAAATCAGCGGTGTCGGGTGCTATTCGGTTGCACATTTCAGTGGAGATCAAGGGTGAGGAGAAGGTCGCTCCGTATCACGTGCAGTACACCTGTCTGCACGAAAACGTGTTCCATTATCTATGCGAAGAGGCGTTCGGAGCGGTGAGTTGACGACGACTATCTGATTTGACGTTAAGAGTTCACCGAACTTCTGTTTCGATTCTCAAACCCAGGTCAACCTACCGCAAACCAAAGGCGACGACGGGTGGAAGATCTACTTCGACGAAACGCCCGAGGAGATAGTGGACGAGTTCGCGATGCGGTACGGTATCGAAAATATCTACCAAGCGATGACGCACTTCCATTGCCTATCGACCAAGTACCTGTGCGCGGGCGTCCCGGCAGTGATGAGTACCTTACTAGCGAATATTAACGCTTACTACGCACACACGACGGCATCGACTGCCGTATCGGCCAGTGATCGCTTCGCTGCTAGCAACTTTGGCGTGAGTTTCCAATCGGTCATCCGACACGTCCAAGCCGAACACTAACATTCTCGTGCTTTTATATTCACAGAAAGAGAAATTCGTTAAACTACTAGACCAGCTGCACAACTCTCTCCGTATTGACCTATCGATGTATCGCAACAACTTCCCCGCTTCCAGCCAAGAGAAACTGATGGACCTCAAGTCCACGGTCGATCTGCTAACCAGTATTACATTTTTCCGCATGAAGGTAGGCTAACTTTGTCGAGCTTGGTAGCGCATGAGTTAACGAACCGTATTCTTCCACTCTACGCAGGTACAAGAATTGTCGAGCCCACCTAGAGCTAGCACGGTAGTTAAGGACTGCGTTAAGGCTTGTCTACGCTCAACGTATCAGTTTTTGTTCGAGAACTGTTATGAGTTGTATAATCGAGAATTTCAGGTTAGTACCGTGCGTTTCCCAGTCGGTAGGAGAAGTTGAAGAACCGGTTTATTTACTCTTTCAAAACAGGTCGACCCGAACGAAGCGAAACGGGAGGGCGAAGACCACGGACCAAAACTAGAGAATGTTGACTTTTGGCACAAACTAATCGCACTTATCGTATCAGTAATAGAGGAGGATAAGAATAGTTATAGCGCAGTGCTTAATCAATTCCCACAGGAGCTTAATATAGGACAGGTGCGTCAAGCGCTATGAGTCACCGTTGAGTTCGTTTCATTCTGAAGTTTCCTTGCAGGTCTCCGCCGCAACAATGTGGAGCCTGTTCGCTATAGATATGAAGTACGCACTGGAAGAGCACGAACAGCACCGCCTGTGTAAATCATCCGCTTACATGAACCTGCACTTCAAGGTCAAATGGCTGTATACGAACTACGTGAAGGAAGTCCCACCGTATAAGGGCGCCGTGCCTGAATATCCGGCCTGGTTCGAGCCGTTCGTGATGCAGTGGCTTAACGAGAACGATGATGTCTCGCTCGAGTACCTACATGGCGCCTTCAAGCGTGACAAGAAGGACGGGGTAAGTCCGCGGTCCCGAAGGCTCCTCCATAGACGATGAACACTAACCGTTGATCTTCCTTACAGTTCCAAAAGAGCAGTGAGCACGCACTGTTCTCCAACTCCGTCGTGGACGTGTTCACGCAGTTAACACAGTGCTTTGATGTAGTTAGCAAACTGGACTGCCCGGATCCGGAGATCTGGAAGCGGTACATGCGACGATTCGCCAAAACAATAGTGAAAGTTTTGCTCGCTTACGTAGATATAGTTAAAACCGAATTTCCCGATATCATGCATGAGGAGAAAACGGTAAGCTCGCCGAAATTGTCTTCGCTTTGTATCGATAACTCATCTCCTCCCTCGTATCACCGGATCATCTAGGCTTGTATTCTGATGAACAATATCCAACAACTTCGGGTCCAATTGGAGAAGATGATCGAATCGATGGGTGGTGAGAAACTGGAGGAGGACGCAGCCAACATCCTGAAGGAGCTGCAGCAGAATTTGAATACCGCGCTGGACGACCTGGCTACGCAGTTTGCCGTGAGGTATGCCCTAGCCCAAGTCTCCAATTGATCCTCGACCTAACATCTGATTTAATTTCAGCTTGGAGCCACGCATTACCGGTAGCGTTCGGGAACTGGGAGATCTGCTGCAGCAAGTCAAACAGCAAACCTCCCTATTCCACGCGCCACCCACCGACGATGCCAACATAATTGCCATGGAAGCGGACGAAGTTCTGCGGCCTTTGATGGACCTCCTCGACGGTTCGCTCTCGATGTACGCCCAGTCCTGCGAGAAGACTGTGCTGAAGCGGCTGCTCAAGGAACTGTGGAAGATTGTCATCCGAACGCTGGAGAAGACCATCGTGCTGCCGCCGATGACGGACAAAACGGTAACTTAGATCGGAAGCTGATCGGGTGATCTCTTTCAACTAACTCGCGGTTCTTTTTCATTTGCAGATGGTCTTCAAACATCTAACCGACAACGCCAAGAACCTGGCAGCCAACGCTAAGATCGAGGACATGTCCCGGTTGATCAAGAATCACATGGCGGGTAAACCGGACGCCAAGAACGTGCTCAGTGGAGTGATGGATATCTCCAAGGAAGTACGTCCAAATGTAGGTGTTCTGAAGTCTTCCACCGAAGAGAATCCCTTACTACTGATTGCGAACATCTTTCACAGATCGAGAAGAATCTATCACCGAAGCAGTGCGCCGTTCTGGAGGTCGCCCTGGACACCATCCAGCAGTACTTCCACGCCGGTGGCAATGGACTGAAGAAGCCATTCCTGGAGAAATCATCCGAACTGCAGAGCCTGAAGTACGCCTTGAGTCTGTACACGCAGACGACGGATACGTTGATCAAGTCGTTCGTTTCCGGACAAGGGGCATCCGAAGGTACGGTCCCAACTTTTCCGAATTGTAAAGCTCTGTAATTTGATTCTAATTTTGATCCTTTCAGAGGGTGGAATCAATCACGAAGATGCCTCCGTCGGGGAAGTTTCGATCCAAATCGACGTCTCGTCCAACCCGGAGAACGGTGAACAGAAGATTTCCGTCAAAGGTGAGCAGCTTGCATGTCAAAATTTACTAAACCTTAATCCTAATGTTCAATCCGCCAGTCATCGCCGCCAACGATCTGAAGTGGACCGTCCCGTCCGGCATGTTCCGGCCGTTCATCGAGGTGAACCTGATTGGGCCACACCTGAACGACCGGAAGCGCAAGTTTGCCACCAAATCGAAGTCCAACAACTGGTCGCCGAAGTACAATGAATCGTTCCATTTGTAAGTACCTGCCAGCTCCGGAACCGTCCACGGTGGTTGGTCTGTGTCATACTTGAAACGAGTTGTTTTTTTTTCCCAAACAGTGTCATTGGCAATGAGGAGCAGTTGGAGTTCTTCGAATTGCACATCTGCGTCAAAGATTACTGCTTTGCCCGTGAGGATCGCCTGGTGGGGGTCGCAATCCTGAAGCTGAAGGACGTTGTCGATCAGGTATGTTGTTTGTGGTGTTTTGCGAGTTGCGTGAGTGAGATGGATGGATGGAAAATGGAAGAATACCATCGACTGCCCCTTCTTCTAGGTAGGTGGGAAGGGCGGCAGTGTATTTTCAGGTTAGGGACGCTGCACAATCGGGAAGAGTAGCTATGCGGAATCGGGGATTGATGAGTGGGTGAGTATTCGTTGACATATTTGCTTTTTCTTTTCTTCTCTTGAGCCAAGAATTCCTTAAAGGAGCTAGAGAAGGGTCAAAGGATTCGGTCATCTGGAAAGTATTGCAGAATGTATTTAAATAAAGGATTTCTATTGAACCAGTTTGTCGTCAATGGTCCGAAAAGATCCGTGCATCAGACAGAGAAGACTCAGACGAATTTATAAATAATTCAGCACCATAATTTCTCAATAAAAATATAAAAGTTTCATTAGTTTAAAGGCACTACATAAATCTCGAACACTCACTTGAAACTTTTAAATATTTCAATAACTCTCTTGTTTTTTTTTTCCCCCTGACAAATGCTCACTGTTCGCTCTTCGATTCTCATTTATACTCATTTCCCAAGCACTGTGTCAGTCAATTCCTCTCATACCGATTCGTTTTCGTATCGAGTATCTGTGGAGGTGAAGTTGGCTTATTCTACGGAGCCTCCATAAAGAGAACAGTGGATGCTTACTGGAAAAAAAAACAACGTTTGAGGTCATTCAGCGAAGTGTTTTTATGGAAAAATGGAGAGTAATCAACGGTTAAATTTTTGTTGTCGAATACAGTCAATGCGTGCCGAAGCCGAGGGGGGCGACTCTATCTACGATGCAGAGAAAATTGTGTTTTGCTGTGCTTTGCTGCGCACCCGCTGAGTAGATAGAGCGAAGATTGATGACGATTCTGAAGATTTCCTGCAAAAATATTATGCGCGATGCAAGTAGATGCGAGAAATGAAAGAAGATTTTTCGAAGATTGATTCGCTAGTGTGAGATTTGTTGAGTATCTAAAATTGAGATTTAGATGTGTCGCCCCCCTCGGCCGAAGCCGCCATTTACTCTACTTATTTGTTTGGTGCAATAAAGTGATCCATGAGACGTTTCGCAGATGCCTGCTTTTTTGTCAGTGTGCCGCAGCTGTGCCGGTAGTATCGAGAGTGCCAGTCATCAGACTGAATAATGGCATCCTTGGCAACCCGTTCAATCTGACAGTTCAAATATTTTGTTTTGAAGACGAAGAAACAACACAACAAGCAGTGGAATCCAAACCAAAATGAGATCCAAGACGATGGTCCAGAGGCACCCCAGCTGGACAAACTGATACTGGACAAGCTAATACTGGACAAACTAATCCGACCGGAGAATCTCCGCAAGAAGGCGATCTATTCCCCGCGACCGCTATGTAACAAAAACCTAGGCAAAAGGAATATCGAAACGCATCTGATTCAAGGGGGAATCAACTCTGCACACTGTACCGAAACACAGTATGACTCATTGTTCGGCATGTTAAGGCACACGCTGATACGTTTGACACGAAAAATATTATATAAAACGGCAACACTGTTGAGCGCTTAAGTTTTTTTTTATCGGTTGAATACCCCTTTACATATTCTTGAAGTCCTTCGAAGATTGTTTTCAAAGTATCTTGAAATTGAATGTAGACACTATTCCTATTAAAATTAGGTTTTTTTTAAATTCTGGGCCACCCTAGTCACCACTTACGTCGAAAGGAAGATCTTTTCTTGTGAAAAAATTTTAAAAGGATGTTACACTTTGCTTAAGAAATCAATATTCTATCTCATCAGCATATCATTCTATGGATATTCTTTCGAAATTTTGGAATGGTTGATAAAAATTTTTCATTTTGAGATTTATTTTCAAAAGACTTCAAGAGCATGAGAAGATCCATATTTTAATGCTTGCTGAGAATTGCATATTGTTTTACGAAAAATATGATAGTTTTGTTACAATCCGTGGATTTTCGTCTGTATGAGTTATTGTTGGTTGGGAAAATTCACGTTTTGTTAAACCTAAAACAGTAGACACACATAATAGCGAGAGGGCTTGTGCCGCTGCCAAAACAGTCAAAAGGATACTGAAGAGAGGAAAATCGTAGTCCTAAGCTAAAAATGGATGCACATATGCTGAAAAGAGGATTGGCAAAATTGATTGAAGAGAGCCATCTTAGATATGGAAAATTAGGCAGAAGAAGTCCGTGTGAACAAGACCAAGAATTGCAGTGCAGTGAAATGGTTTAAACTCCCCTCATCCCCATTTAGGGGCTCGGGATGGACCTACAATAAAACGGTCTCACACGGTTCGGCAACATGGCTTCCGAGCCTTATCGCCAATGATCCTCGATCATCCATCAGGGACGATTCCCTCAGACCAGTGGCCTTAATTGCCATGAGGGTCCCGTCTCGGCTCGACCAAGGTGGTCTTGCCCCGTTTTTTTTTTTTTATCTTTAAGAGATTTTTAGCCATAGGCTAGTTCATCTCTAAGGTCTTATCACGGTCTGCTGATGTCGTCAACGAAGGAAGACGCCTGTCAGCCAAACGAGCCAGCAACGCCTGCTGAGCCGTGGCTGATGAACGACACCAGAAACGCCATTCTCTCAATTCAGCAACGAAACGCTGTTTGCCACCCGCGTCGCAAGTTTCCGGCCACACTGTAGTGCAGGAGCAGCCGTGTGGGCCAACGCGTCCAGTCTTGGGCGTATCCAGCGAGGCATCTTTCAAATTTCTCGCAAACTCCAACAACGGCAAGAGACCAGCAGCCGAGCACTTTTGCAAGCGGAAAACTTGCTGATTCACGGCAACATCGGCCACCGAATTACCACTCGCGACGGACACAACATGATCCTGGGCTAATTCACCAACCGGACCGGGTTCAAACTCGCCCACAGTGATGAATCTCTCAATAGAACTACACGCCGAAAGTGTGGCATCTTAACTCGGAGAACCGGGAGCCCGAAAACCAACACCGAACAATAGAACTGAAGCTGCGCCGTAGATTTTGGAGGTTATATTCAAGGTCAAAACACGATGTATCACTAAATGATAACTTTATGAACACTTGAAACTAAAGACGAAAAATACACGGCAAAATAAAAACACGTCAGCTTTCAAGCGCGGCCTACTGCGATTTTCTTATTAAACTATTCAGGCTGTGTTCCATTTGGTGAATTTTCACTTAAATTTGACAGATGAATATTTTTCAAATAAACCTGCTATTCCAGAAAATAGAAAAATTAACAAATGTTTGCACTAACCCTTCTTCTGAGGTTGTTATCTTTGCTATCAAATTTGTTAGCATTTACCTTTGCACGGCAGATCACGCGAATGTGCCTTTCTGATAGCGGTCGTATGAGAAAATGGAAGAGTTGCCAGTTTTCTTGATATGTTGTCTTCGATATTAGCTAGCCCTATTCATGATTTATTATCTCGTAGCTCATGTGTCTGTAAACTGCAAGGTTTAAGGAAATGAATTGGGATTTTCGTTAAAAATATTTTCAAGTCTGGACACACACGCATAATATTCCAAAAGGACGAAAATTTCCCAAATTTTACCAAAAGAAAAATGTAACCTACGAATAGCTCGAAAATTCCAATACCAGACCTGGTAGCGATCAGTGCTGTCAAATAAAAATATTGATTTTAGTGACCATGTTGAAGAAATAAGTGACCAAATAGTGACTTTTAGTTGTAAAAAAGTGACTTAAAACTGACCTAAGGGAAGAAAATTAGTTGTTCTGATGGCATACGAAATAAATGTTTGATGTTTTAGACGTATTCAATTAGATTCTCATAAACACTTAAATATGTACGATAGGAACCTTTGAAACGAAAGATTCAAAAGCTTATGACTAAACCTCCAAGCTTATACTACCTGGAAAATCCTGAAAAACCGACAATTCGCAGGGAATTTTATTTTTCCTAAAAAAACGTGGAAGTATCAGGGAATCTTACCTAGGAAATTTAATAATTTTCTTACTAAGAATGCATTTTAAAATTAAAAAAAAAACATTTAATATGTCTAGTTATTTTCATTCGCACATTGAACTTTATAGATCCAGAATTGATTATTCTTCAGTAACAAATATATTTTTAAAATTCAGATGCTTCAAATGATATTTTTTGGCCCCAGAATATGCATTTTTCCACAAATTTCATAAATTCATGAATGAAAAGTTATAATACTTCAAGAAATTTTCAAGAATCTGGAGTCACATTCCTTGCACAGTTTTAAGACTCATGGAATTTTATTATAATTTCTAAGGACCTCATTCCACGGAATTATGGGAAAACAATCTATGAGAAAAACATAAACTCCAATCTGCTTTCATGGTACTTCTAAAGGAATTTTAGACTTCATGTGAAGCCTAAACCTAAGATAGTAAACTCCAAGCGAATTTTCATGAGAAATCTCCGTTGAATATGGAATGGACTATTCTGAGGTCTTCATAACTACTTGAAAGTTCCCAAAATATTCCTGAAGTCTTGAAATTTTTTGTAGTTTGAGAAACTAAGCTGATGCTTGCAATACTTCTCATCATTTTTATCTAAACTTTTTCGGACTTCCTAAAGCTTCCACAATTTTCTGAATTTCTCGAAAGTTTTGTAAAATTTGTGTAATTTCCCTACTCTGGAATATCTCTGCTCTGAGGATATCCGTTCTTTCTTGAAGTTTTTTGTTTAGAGCTTTATTAGCGAGATCAATATCTTTCTCGAAGTTTTCGAAATGTCTATAAAGTGTTTGCAGTTCTTATGAAGCTTGTTGTATTACCATGAATTTTATTGAACTGTTCTAAAAATGTTAAAGCTTGCGTGAACTTCTGGACTTATGTGAAAACCTCAATAATTTTCTTAACATCTCTAAAGTTATCTGAAAATCTGGGAACTTCTTGAATATTCCCGCTAATTTAGTGAAACTAATGGAACTGAACTCCCCTGAAATTCCCTTTGTTTTTGGAGCTTTACTAAACATATTTGAGATGCTCCCGAAATGACCATAAAAGTTCCTGAAGTTCTCGGATCTTCCCTTAAGTTCCATAGAATTTTATGAAGTTTTCGAAATGTTTATGAAGATCTCTGTACTTCTGTACAGTTTTCGAAGTTATTGTGAAATTTCAGGAACTTCTTTAGGCTTCCGCAGCAAAATAATTAATATAGTTCTATGATTTTCACTGAAGTTCTCAAGATTTGTTTGAAGTTCAAATTATCGAATCTAATTCATAATTTCTTCAATAGTCTAGAGTTTCATGATGTGTTTAAAACTGCCCAAAATATTTCACAATTTCCTTAAAGTTCTCTAGACTGCCCTGCCTTAGTATTTTTTCAAAGAACCCACCATTTAACTGTAATTGATTTAATTGCCTTAAGTTTTACAAAGATTATAAACGCTCACGGAACTTTGCCGTAAATCACTAATTTTCCCTGGAAGAAGTTTTCTATGCTCTATTTCTCTAAATTGATCAAATGTTCCGGTAAATTTTCTGACGTATATTTATAATTTCCTGAAGCTTCTAAAAAAAGTTTTAAGATTAATCATAGAATTCTCGAAATATCGCATAATTTTAAGGAACTCCTTGTAATTCGCTGCAAATTTCCTTAAGTTAATGTGATTTTTCTGATGTCAAGACCAACAATTGAAAAGGCCTCAACTCCATTTTGTAAACAAACCTTGTAAGACCACTTTGAAGAGGTAGGGGAAATTCTCATCTACCCGATTGTGATTTAGGTTTGCAAATGTAGGTTTTGGTTCGCGAGAAAATGGCCTTACAAGGTTTGTTTACAAAATGGGGTTAAGGCCTTTTCAATTGTTGGTCTTGATGTTATCTGATCGTCCTCGAAGTACCCGGAACTGAATATAATGAAACAATCTAAAAATATCTTCATTTCTTAGAAGTTCACTTGAACTTCTTGTAAATATCGGAGCTTGCTAAAAGTTCTCGCCTTTTTTCAAATTAATGGAATTTCGTTGATGTTCTCTAATCAACTTAGCTAAATTTTCGATTTTTTTTAGATCTTGAAATTCTTTCTTGAAATACTCTCACATTTGTATTGCCTTCCAGAAATTTTCTCTGAGCAAACCGAAGTTTCCGGATATTACTGGAATTTTTTTTTTGAAACTTCTCTAAGGTGTCTGCAATTTCCTTAAAAAAAATTTAACTGCCCTTTAATTCTATGATCTGCTTTGATGTTCACGGAGCTTTCCAAAAGCTCTCAATTCTAATGAAGATTTCGGTTCTGCTTTAAAATAAATGGAATTCTTGTAAACACCTTTAAACATATTTCAAATATTTTTGAAGTTTTCATACATTTTCTGAAAGTCTCTGTACTTAATCTTTCGGAACCAAGTCAATAGTCTGGGCTGAAGTTTCGGGAACTTCCCCTTAAGATCTCCGGAATTCCCTAAAGATCGCTAGATCTAGCTTTTCTGAGATCAATAGAACTTCATTAAAGTTTCCACATTTTTGTTAGTACGAAATGTCAAGACATTAAAAATGTTGTGATCCTAGACTTACTAAAACGAAGTAAGTGATCAACCTCAAAATTTAATGGATTTGATAGGAAAGCTGTTTCTTTTAAACTGATTGTCATGTCTTAAAAACGTTTGCGTTAAACAACATATTGTGAACGCATTTCATAAATAGCATTCTTATCATAAACCTGGAAATTATCCGTCAAAGTTATGGAAAAACCTGAAAAACTCAGAGAACTTTATTTATTTATTTATTGAGTTGACACCCTGTAGATAAAGAAATATAAAAAAAAAAACTCTATACCAGGTCGTCAACTTCGAATTGTTCGAAAAAAGAACAAAATGCAGGCCAGAAGAATGATCAATCTTGAAATAAATTCACGTTTGTAAAGTTTAACATTACAAGAAAGAGTGACTTTAGTGGCTTGGCCTTAAAAAAGAGACTTTTTAGTGACTGACTCACCAAGTCACTAAAAAGTGACTCGCTACCAGCCCTGCAATACTTTTCCGGGCTATTTCCAAATTAGTTCAAAAACTCTTCAGACCCATCATGGTTACAAAAATTGCATAATTTCAAGTACAAAAATATTACTGAAGACATCAAACGTCTAAAACCAGAAACGAAAGCTCTAGGACGACGACTCTCTTACCGAATGAACCAATGGACAAGTATGTGCTGGGACTTGGCAATTATCACTCGTTCCCAACCTTTGAAAATTGCACGCTCGACACTTCTTAACGAATCACAGCACGAAATCTGCTCTTCGAAATGATGTCTAATTGGATCCTCAAAGAAACTCTTGCACAATCCACCTTCAATCAGAATTATCGGACCAGTCAATAGCCTAAAGTCTGGAACGCGCAAAAATTGGTTAACTTCAACCGAAATGCTGTATTTGGAAGTTGAGTGTAGTATATACAATGGTTGCTATGATGAGTTTTCACCGTTTGCTCTCCAGTTTTCAAAATGACGTCCAAGCAAGAGGAGCAGCGTGTCAAGATTTTGCTCGCGCAGCAAGAGAATCCGACGCTCTCACACGTCAAGTTGGCAAAATTGCTGGATGTGGCCAAATAGACCGTGACAAACGTTTTAAAAGTGTTTGGAGAGCGTCTGTCGACCGCCAGGAAGCCTGGCAGCGGCGGCAATCGTAATCCGGACGTGGCAGAGAGGTGACGAAGAAGGCAAGCTCAATGCCTCCCATACTACTGTGCAGCGGGCCAATAAACGAGGCGAGTTGTCGACGTTTAGGAAGGTGAAGGTGAACCGAGATTACAAACAAAACTCGTCGGCAAAGCAGCGGTCCCGAAAGCTGTATACGAATCTGCTCATAAAGTTCGACTGTGTCGTCATGGACGACGAAACTTATGTGAAGGCAGATTTCAAGCAGCTTCCGGAACAGGAGTTTTATACCGCATCAGGAAAAGGGAAGGTGGCTGAAATTTTCAAAACCACAAACTATCGAAGTTCCCGAAAAAAATATCTCGTCTGGCAGGCCATATGCACGTGTGGTCTAAAAAGCGGCATTTTCATTACTACGGGAACCATCAATCAAGAGATCTACGTCCAGGCTGCTTCCATTCCTAAAGCAACATAGTAGACCTGTGCTATTCTGGCCGGACTTGGCGAGCTGCCACTATGGAAAAAAGGCAATCGAGTGGTACAATGCGAACAACGTGGTTGTGGTACCCAAAGACCACAACCCTCCCAACGGCCCAGAACTCCGCCCTATCGAACGGTATTGGGCCTTGGTCAAACGGAATTTAAAAAAACTAATAAATCCATGGAAAACGAGCAGCAGTTTAACCCAAGTAACAATTTTGGTTTTATGAAGGTTCTGTAGGCCATGGTTTAGACTTGTAGAATGCCGTAAAACCGCGATAAAACCAGCAATGTTACTTGGGAAATCTAACTGGCGTTCGGCGGCGAATAAGGTCGATGAGACCACTGTGTAAAATTTAATGGAAGGGGTAAAGCGGAAGGCACGGCAGTTCGGATTTGGCAAACCAAAAGAATAAAGGAACATTTTTTCCTTTAAATATATGAAGTGAAAAATAAGAAGATTTTTGTGATGTGAATTTTGACTGAAAGAAACGATTTTTTTGTCGACCAATTTTTGCGCGTTCCAGTCTTTAGTAGCAGTTCTAACTAGAAAGATGCTGATAGATGAAAACACTTTGGAATGCATTTCACCCGATCACTTGCACTAGCTTTTTTGTACTAAAGTTCTTTTCTACAACTATGTTATCCAGTGCCACATTGTTTCGAGCTAAAATGCGACGAAAAAAAAATTATACTTTCACTAACTAATTATGTTGAGGCAAATAGTACTGTGATTTAAAAGTATATTAGAATAAAATCGTACTACATCGTTTATTTCGCTTTCTTTGCACCTATCGAATGGTGACAGATCAGACTCGAGTCCGCTTCGTTGTTTTCCGTTAAACGTATTTCGTCCGCTCGGTAATCGCGAATACTACAATCTCAACTTCTTTCGATCGCACGGTTAATGCGGATACTATAAAAATAAATTCCAGAAAAAATAAAACCGAAAATTTGACACTCGTTTGTTGTGTCCGTACAGACGCTGAGCACACTTCGATCTCCTTGGGACAAAAGTCCGTATATAAATGGATTGCTTTTACACCAAAACCGTCACAACTTTCGTAAAACAACGTTTCGACAGTGAGCATGCATAATGGCGTAAACGCGATGATCGATTCTCTTCGTCGATTTTCTGATTAAATTGCTACTGCTAAAGAAAGCTATTTTGTGAACTGTATCCATTACAGTGCTGTAACAGGTTGTATTGGCTATCAAAGGAACAACAAACGCACCGAGAAATGTTAATCCAAGCGAGTTATTAACAAAAGAGAAAAACGACGAAGATAATCGATCATCCCGTTTACGCCCTTATGAATGCTCACTGTCGATTTCTTAACAACCTTCAAATATGCGTCCTCTTACGTTCTTGAACTCCATTCTCAAAATGAAATCGAAATAAAAAAAAAAGTTAGTGCAAGACAACTTTTTCTTTTTTCAGAACCACCCTAACTAAATTTCGAAAAATTTACATTGAATTATATGTTGATGAGATTGAAGTTTGATTTCTTCAGCAAAGCAAAGTTGCTTGAAACTAAATTATCTATTACTTGTATAAGCAAGTATTCCACTAAAAATAAAAAAAAGTCATAAATTTTATTTTTCTTGTAGACAAATTCAGGCTGAACATTCCGTTAGGTCCTAAGTAACATTGACAAATTATCTTCGTCGACTTTCTCTTTGTATCCCCACGGCCATGTAAATACATTATCAGGTATTTTCAACACACAGATCAATAAAAGAAGCTTTTATCTACACGGTAAGAAAAAAGTACCCAACGGAAATTTCACTTTTACCTACTTTTGACTAGTTTGTCTCCTTTTCTCCTTCTAATGTTGTCAAAAACGGAGGAGTAAAACCACCCAACAGGGGTAATAAAGTGTGGGAACCCAACGTTGAGTATAACCATATTTACCTACTTTTGGGTACAACTAACTTACTTTTGGTTTAAAAACCAGTGGAAAATTCCATACGAACTGCACACAAGTAAATGAAAATTACTTTGACCAGCTTTACCTACTATTGGGTTCCTGCACTATAGTGTCGAGATGAGTGAAAAGAACTTAATTTTGGGTACTTTTTTCTAACCGTGTAGCATCTAATACGACAAACACAACAAGAAACGGTTATAACCTCAAGTTATTAACAAAAGAGAAAGTCGACGAAGAGCAACGATCAATGTTACTTAAGACCTTATGCAATGTTCAGCTTGATTTTTTCCCAGAATGTTAAACCTCCAGAGTGCATAGTTTTCGAGATATCGATTTTTGTCGTAAAATTTTGAGTTTTTGTGTGAAGTGATAGACCGAGGGGCAAGACAGTGAGTAATCCAGAGCAATCCAGAGTTACTCTGAGTAGTTTTCTTGCTCCCTGATGAACAAAGGTTTCAAATATTTCTAGCAGAACATTTCAAATGATCCTATTTGCCTTGATCAATTTTCATCATCGACTTTATATTTGAGCTACCCCAGCAGAGTTGATAAATTTTCAACAATTTTCATAATACTGATTATTATAAGGTGACATTTGATGATACAGCCGACTTTGTAATAAAAGAAATATTCACTGAAATTAATTGTTTGATGAAAATAGAACCATTTGAAATGTTTAGCTTGAGTTTTGAATGTCGTTTGTTTTGAATGAAAATTTGACAGCGCTGCATAGGATCGATCGCAGTTGTTTTGGAGTTCTGAATTTCGTTCGTGCATAAAGTGTTTCCTATTGAAAATGCAGGAAAACTCATTATCGGGTTCATGCTTGAGGTACACTTCCAAGCCAACCGAGAAGCGGACAGTAAGTTTATTGTTTTTATTATTTACATGATCATTAGCTCTGATAAATAAAAACAATTTAGGATGTATTTTGGCAGCGAATGCAGTGAGAGATTGGAGATGTGGCCACTCATCTCCAAAACATTTTAAATTTTCAAGAGCTAGCCGGAACCAAAGCACTTGGCATTCTAAGTAACAACGACATAGCGGAGATAGAGCAACAAATGCGATATGCTGCTCCACGAATTGCAAAGCTGATCCGAAACTCCGAAGGATCCCTCAAGATGTCAGACTTCTATGGAAGTTTTGATGACGATCCAGAGCACTTCACTTTTTCTGTGGGAGACGTCCGTGTGTTCCAGACGGTTATCGATGCAGTGAAACAAAAAGGTATTAAACTATTCATCTGTGTACCTTCTTGCGAACCAGGCACCAGGCTAGAAAATTGTAGTGCCAGTTCAGCTAGTGAGATGCAGAATGAATGGAATACTTTAAAAACGCGAATAAAGTTCTATTATTCAAATGAGTAAGTACATAATAAGTACCCGCTAACTCGCTGTAATGTGACCCTTTGATTTAGTTCCTCAGGTGATGTGCGCCTCGAACAGATTATGCAATCGTTGGACGCTATTGCAGTCAAACCAGAGGTAGAGAAAGGCGGAAATATTGTTGCTACAGTTCCGTGTGGAAAATGTACAAGAACAATAAAGTTAGTCCGCAATCCGCCACGCTCTTGGCCCATATACAACATAATTAGGCATTACAACGGACACATCAACATGGAAGGAATCAACAGAAACACTCGCAGAAACAAGAAAATCAAAGATTCTGATAAAAAAAGCAGCATCAACAACCCTATGATTGCTTCTCCTAAGGTAAATAGATACGTGCTTATTTCTACTGTTGAGACTGAATTTTAAAATGTTTGTGTATTTAGGTCAGCCGTCAGGACAATTGTTTTTCTGAGGAATATTGTGTGCTAGAAGACGATAAACACTCTTTAAACCTTCTGACCAAAAACAATAGCTCCGAACGAGAAAATGTTGCAGCAGAGTGCTCTCCGGTAAGCGTCCAGCGATTACAAACTGACTACGATAAACAGGATTATTCGACAACGTATTTGGTACAAGACAGTCCCTTTCGACCCGTAAGTGGACAAGAAAATGGTGTCGAGTATTCTTCGGCCAGTGTTCAACATTTCCAACATGAGTCTGAAGTAGGCGAGAAGGATTATTCGACGATCTCTTTCTTACAAGACAGTCCTTTCTGACCCGGAAATGGACGAGAAAATCGTGCAGAGAATTCTCCGATCAGTAGCCAAGGTTTCAAACACGAATCTGAACGAGAGTCCGAAGTAGGTGAAAACAATTATTTAACGAGCCCGTTGGTCAAAAGCAGGCTATTCCGTCCTGGAAGCGAAGGAGAAAATGTTGCAGAGTATTCTCCTATCCACGCCCAAGGTTTCCAATCCGATGAAGATACACAGGAGTTCGAAGAAAATAGTTTGCTGCGTATTAAAAACGAACGAGAAAGTGTTGCAGAGCATTCTCCGGTCTGCACTCAAAATTTGCATTACGAGTCAGAATTTTTGAAATTCATTCATAATGGGCAACCCAATTCATTTAATGCAGAGAGTAAATAATATAAATAAATTACAAACTAAAATATTAATATGTACATCAAACTTATTTCCAGCACTTGAAA